TGAGCCTAGGAGTTGGAGGTTGCTGTGAGTTGTGACGCCATGGCACTCTACCCAGGGGGACAGCTTGAGGCCCTGTCTCAAAAAAAAAGAATTTCAAATTCCTCAAAGATAGATCGGCCAGTGTGGGCCGATTTCTCAATTTTGTTAATTATTAATCGCCACCTTTTGTGCTGGACTGGATTGAGCAATGGGTGTTCATAGCGTGACTGGTTTCATAACAAAATTTTACAATTCTCTAGAATCTTAGCTTCCTCATAGTCCAAAGGAGTTTCTAATGTTCACATCAGAACTGAAGCAGGCAGCTAAGTGGCCTTGACTGGACAGGAAACTCATTGGGTAGGGCACTGGCCACATACCCTGAGGCTGGCAGGCACCTGTAGTCTCAGCTACTTGGGAGGCTGTAGACTCTGTCTCAAAAAAAAAAAAAAAAGGCTTGGCACTGATAGGTAGCACAGTGGTTGTGGCACTGGCCACATGCACCAAGGGTGGCAGGTTGGAACCCCAGCCCGGGCCTGCTAAACAACAATGACAACTGTAACAAGAAATAGCCAGGCATCATGGTGGGCTCCAGTGGTCCCAGTTACTTGGGAGGCTGAGGCAGGAGAATCACTTTAGCCCAAAAGTTTGATTTTGCTGTGAGCTGTGATGCCATGGCACTCTACCAAGGGCGACATAGTGAGACTCTTGCCTCAAAAAAAGAAAGGAAGAAAGAAAGAAAAGAAATAGTGTTATCTCAGCTCCAATGGCCTAGCAACTGCAGACTTAGAAAAGGCAGGGAAGAGACCGAGAGGTCTCAGTACAAACTGCGGTACTGAGTAGTTACAGAACTCTAATTTTCTGTACACTGATACAATTTCTTTTTTTTCTTTTTTTCTTTCTTTTTAAGACAGAACCTCAAGCTATTCCCCTGGGTAGAGTGCTGTGGCATCACAGCTCACAGTAACCTCCAACTCCTGGGCTCAAGCGAGTCTCCTGCCTCCACCTCCCAAGTAGCTGAGACCACAGGCGCCTGCCACAATGCCTGGCTATTTTTTGGTTGCAGCCATCATTGACAGGCCCAGGTGGATTCGAACCCTCCACCTTGGGTGTATGTGGCTGGTGCCACTGATATAATTTCTTTGAGGTTTTCCCCAGGAAACAGAAGAACCTCCTTGCAGCCCTGAGATAATTACAGTGCCTCACTCTACCAGAATATCTGGAGAAAGTCAAGATAAGTGATACACCACCACAGATTGTGACCAAGAGCCACTAAGCCTGTGCACAGGCTGAAAGAATGACAATATTAACCCCTAGCTCATTATCATACTAAAATTCCCACCCAGGGGAGGGATTTCCCCACCATTTTTTGTTCATGGGATGTACGAACAAGCATGATTCCTCACTGTGCTTGCATCCCCTACACTCCACCCCAAACATACAAGGAGTACACTCCCTCTATACATTATTTATTTTCACTTCCAAAAAAACCTCTAACCTTTCTAATCTGAGAGGTGAATTTCAGGTAGCCTGTGCCTCCCCCTCCCAGTTGACCATCCTCTGAAATAAATCCTTTCTTCCTTCACAATCCTTGATGTCTCAGAATTGGCTTCTTGTGCTTGGAACAATAGTGAACAAACCCTTGTGGGTTTGTTAACAATAGGACAGTTTACCTAAAGAGACCAACCTGAATTAGGCAGGTATAAGAATTGCTGTTTACATTGTATTCATGTGGGAGCTAGTAACTCAACACAAATCAATGGGGTAGTGTCATTGAAAGATAACTGGAATGGTGAGCAAGGAGGTAGCAATCAAACAGGCTGGAGCTCCTGGTAGGCTTACCTCTGAGCATTTTTACTTCTTTGGGAAAGCTTCAGGAAAAGACTAGAATTATAGTCCTTTTCAAATACCTTCAGACAGGAGCTAATCTTTTTATACTCTGTGTATGGGCAGACCTTCAATAAGCTTTTGTTATAATAAGTGAACCAACTGATGAAAAAAAAGACTCAAACAGATTGAAAGTAGTAATATAAAATAGGGCTGTAGTCAAGCCTGTAGTCCCAGCTACTAGGAGGCTGAAGCTAGAGGATGGCTTAAGCCCAGGAGTTCAAGGTTATACTGAACTATGAATAGGCCACTGTATTCCAGCCTGGACAACAAAGTGAGACCCTGTCTCTAAAAAACCAACAACAGTTCGGCACCTGTGGCTGAAATGGCTAAGATGCCAGCCACATACACTTGAGGTGGTGGGTTCAAATCCAGCCTGGGCCCACCAAGCAACAATGGCTGCAACCAAAAAATAGCTGGCATTGAGGCAGGGACCTGTAGTCCCAGCTACTTGGCAGATGGAGGCAGGAGAATCAA